TTTATTTTGATGCATATGCTGTTATTTTGCAAATTTGCACTATAATATATTTTTTCGTTTTTCCTGCAGTATATGAAAATTGGTGTATCTCAAAAATAAAACTATGAAGACACTTAAAATAAATTTCCTGTGGTGGGAAACTAGTTTGTGCAACTTCTTTGTATTTACAGTTTTGAGGGATAAGCCTCTTAAATTTCTCTAACTAGAAATATATGTTAAAAAATCAAAAACGATTTTCAATTTTTTTGTACTTTATTGCACTTTTTTGCAATTTATGTAATTACTATGCACCTAATGCAGACATATTATTAAAATTTGGGCTATAATGGTTGTATTGATGTATAGCAACTTGAAATGCTCCCTAAAATGGCTCCACAGCATGTAAAAATATAATATAAGCTTTGGCAGACTTGGTTCTATGGTAGGTCTTAAAGGGTTAATGTTAAACAGCAGAAGCAGAGTGAAAGTCCAAATCTGGCTCGATTCACACGCATCCGTTCAGAGACAGCTTTGACCTGAGTGCACGTTTACTCTGGCAACACAGACTCAGCAGTTTGTGAAATACTCACCATTTTATCTTATTTGAATTTTTTCATATTCTTGGGCACGAAAATGCTTCTTTATTCTCAGTTAAATAAACTGAAAAACCCACTGATGTGTGTCGTTGTGCACAAAGCAAAGAGGAAAACGTTCACATATGCGGGGCTGGGGGTGGGAGCTAGTTTGAGCCCATTGCTGATTGGATTTGTTTACACTGGTTTTGGTCTACACACTCACCCCACAAGCAGAGAGTAGGCTACGGTTAGGTAATAAAAACTGATCTTTTGAATGTAGCTAAACGTCTGCTTAAAGCACAGCTGAGGACCCAGATAAGACCAAATAACACTACAGGCTGTCCTTAGTTTGCCTGACTGGGAATTTGATACAAAGTAAATACATGTAAAGAAGGAAAAATCATTTAAATTAATAAATACTTAAAGAAACTGACAGTGGTTTAAAGGATGAATCTGAATTTCAGTCATAATCTACGTGAGACCCGGTAACCTCCTGCTGCTCTGTTTCACTCTGTCGCTGAGCTCAAACAGGAAGAGCTCAAACATACATAAAAATAAAGTTTTATCTGTGAACGTCTCGTCTGAATAACCCTCTACAAGCCTAATGTAATCATCAGTGTATAAAAAGAAGTGCTAAAGTGAAGTGTTTGCATCACCAATGCTGCAGGGACGACGACGATGATGATGATGATGCTTGAAGACACTTCTACCCAGGAAACCTTCAAACCTAAACAAACTTATAAGCTGTGGAATAAAACCAGTAAAATTAACCCAGATTAACCATTTTTTAAGCTCCATGTTTTAGTTCTTGCATTTGTTCAGCATAGCTTTGCATGACTCACAGTTCAAAGTCATTCTTATTTATCCTAAACCGAAACAAGCAGGTTTAGCTTTATTCACGCCAACTCTCTTCTGATTGGCTGCCCCAGCAGGCTAATCTATCTCATGGATTGGTTCAGACCACAGGACAGGGTGCTGTCTGGATGAGAGCGAAGTCTCATAGTTTTCCACCTGTTTTCCGTAGATGAATGTTCTGGAGTGGACGTGTTGGAGTATGTGGAGATTTTCTCTGTGAAACAAGCAGGACCTTCAATTAAAAGGATGTTTGCACCATTATACTCTAAAATCTCAAAGCATTATATCATTCAGCATTAATGGCGCCGTCACTGCTGTGATAGTAACCTATGCTGTTTGTTCTTACATCATTGTAAGTGGTGGCTTCAGTCTGTTGTTTTCTCTGCACAGTAGAGATTTAACCAAAACTGCTGGATGTAGTGATGAGCTGTGCTCACTGACAGAAGTGTCCGTTAGTCTGTGCTGAGATTTCTCCGAATCTTTGAATTATGCTGCCAAAGATGATGAAATCTCCATTCTTTGCAGTTTCATCTTGTTCTTAATCAAACATGTGGATCATCAAGAATGAGATTTCCATCACGAATCATTGGGGTCCAGATTAGCCAACACAGCTGGTAGAAACTGTCACTGCTGCTGGTCAAAGAGAGGAAGCAGAGAGGGGGATGGCATGTTAGCAGGCAGCGAGAGAGAAGAGAGGCGGGAGGGTGGAGGCGGGACACTTAATGTGGGGACTATGTAGTGGACATGCAGGTGTGACAGAGGAGGGTGCTGGGATAGGGTGAGAAGGAGGCAGATGATGAGCTGTGGTGACCCCCCAAGAAAGATCTTGTTCCTCAATGAATTATGCAGTACGTGTGATCTGTTTTAACACGGAAGTTTAAAGACGTTTATGTAGCATTGTGAACTCCAGATGTTTTGTGTTTGCTGATGTGAAGTTGACAATAGTCTGAATGGTCCTGTGTGATGATGAGTCATCACCTGAATGTTCCCAGACAGGATCTGCTTATTTCCACTGAGCGTTCACATTGTTATGCTAATCTAGAAGTACAGAGAGAGTGATTCACTTCACTGAAAACTTCATTATGTTGGAGATTTAATTTCAAGGAACGACTCTAGTTTTTTATGCACTCGTCACTTTAGAGAATTTAATCTGTTTTGCTTTCATAACATGTTTTTTTTAAAATCGAGAGAAAAGGTCCAAAGTCAGAATTAGCTGTTATTTCACTGCACTTTGTCTGTGGGATATTTATGCAAATACTGCACGTCTAATATCTCATTTACATATTTAAAGGTCAAATTAAACAACATTTGCAATACAAAAAGTAGCTGTCTGTCTAATGGCTAAGTTTTATGGTGATATGTTACTTAAGTACTATTTTCTACTCAATAAGAACCTTTTGAAACTTTTGAGGCTGTTTAAAAGTGAATTTTCTGGTTTACTGTGACAGAAATCTCTAGTTCAGTATTTCCAGTTTATACTGGGAGGTTTTCTCAGAGTCTGACTTATCTGACATTTTATGCTGGAAAGTTGACCGTTTCTTATAATCTCTAAATTATTATTTCAGAAACGAATCCATAGATTAGTGGATAATCTGTGGATTCGTTTCTGGAAAGAGAACAAATATAAACACTTTTAGATCAAAAAGGGCTCAGTTAAAAATTTCTGCACACTTTTAATACAGAAAATATTATTCTTAATGTGAGTAATCACCTTAATAATCTGTGACTAACTTGTACTTGCACTGGAAGTGTAGATTAAAAAGTTTTATTCTCAGGTGTCTGAGCGGTGACGCTGGTGTCCCGTGGAGAGCGAGTCAGCAGAAGCTGAAAAAGCAGGCATGGCTGCGACTGTGCTGCAGTCATAATAAACTCTTGTTCTGTGCTGCAGGAGGCGGCCTGGCAGAGATCACGCTGACCTTTGACAGCGGCAGGGTGATGTACGGCTTCTGCGGCCTGAAGGAGCCCGCCGCCGCTCTGCCACGATACATCCTCATCAACTGGGTGAGTCGCTGGGACGAGGGGGAAACGGGTGGGGGCACACTCTGAAATGTCCTTCAATGCTATAAATGAGAATATCAGAGTCATCGAGGGTCGCTGCACATTTTCAATTTAGTCATTTATTTGACAAGGACGCGCCGATGAGAGCGATCTAAAACTCGTCGCCTCAGCAGCTGGAAGAAGAGTGGCATCGGCAGCGGTCGTAGACACGCTGATGTCACCAAATGCTGCGATTGTAGTGAAAGTGTGAGAAGCTCTGAAACTCGATTAATGTACCAGATTTGTTTAGCAGTGGCCAACCAGCCCACCAACTGTCTTCACATTCTGAATCAATCACTGGTTGGACAGGAGTTCACTGAGGCATCATGTTTTTCCATTTGAGCTTAGTCCATTAAAATGTGTGAGAAAGACAGAGAGTTATAAAAATCACTTAATGAAATATCCAGAAATGCTCTTACTTTGGCAGAAAATGTTATATTCATGATTTAGATAATCAGTCTGTGTATGAAACAAAGTGTGCTTTTTATATTCTGTGTCAGATGTACTTTAGTCTTTTAAGCCTCTCTCTACTTCTACTTTATCTGAATCTGAGCTTTCGTTACTTCAAAAATTTATAGTTTTAAACACAGATCATATGAAGAAATGATAAAACATTATAATTATGCTAATTAGAAGATTTAGCTTACGTTACGCACTTTAGGTAGAACTTTGATACGTCAAATAGCTAGCAGATTGTCACATTAGAAGTTATGTTAAGCTTAACTGTTTTAATTTCTTCAAAGCAAACGGTCTTTACATAAAAATATCTTTCTGTAGGGTAAATGTTAGCTTACTTAATATGTTTTTATTTATTCTGTAACGACAAAAAACTGTCTGGCTTCTGCAAAAAGTTTGCAAGCACACAAGCTAGGCCAGGTCACAAGCTAGGACTTTGGCTAACGTTGGTCAGCTAGCTGTAGCATCTCTATGAGCATGAATGTGCTGTTAGTTACTCCTTAATTTTAGCTGAAAAAGTAACGTTCTAAAAAGAGATATATCATAGCTGTTGTTATCCATTGTGCTATGTGAACTTTTATCTGCTGTCTGCTAGCTATTAAACATGTTGCTAAATTACGTACCTAGCAATTTTTCTCATTAGCAGTGAAGCTGATTCTTTCTAAATTAGCTAAACCTAAAACCAACTTAGGTGTATCCATGAATCAGAAGGTGTTTATTTTGCTATATTATTAGGGCTGTTTGATATAACGATATATATCGGATGACGATATAAAAACGTCTGTCGTTTCATTTTACGCTATCGTTTGTTTCGTGGTGTCGCAAAATAAACTCTTTACGGCAACATTTTCTCATGGTTCTGATGGTCACTGTCGTGGCTTTATTAATTTCTTAAAGTTCTCTCTTTCTTTATATTTTATATAACCACACTACGGACAGACAAGCGCCTGTTTTTATGCTTTGTCGTTAGCAACAACGACGGTAAAACCATCGTGTGTCCGCTTGTTTATGTTCCACATAAACCTTTCACAATAAAGCTCAAGATCCTGTTGAGACTTTTCAAAATAAACTGAATCATGTGAAAGAGCAGATTATTTACGGATGAGAAGTAAAAAAAAGAGCCGCCAGGTGCTAAAAAATAAACTTTAGACTCAAACGTTAGAACAGGCTTTTCCCCGCAGCACGCCGTGTAATAAATACTCACAAAGGAAACGGCGCCGTTTCAACCTATGTCTAAAAATGTATCGTTTCATGCATCGGTTAAAACACTCGACTCCAGCTACACGACGCACAGCTGGAAACACTTCACGCAAGTCGAGCTGCCCGAGATTCACAGACTTTACAGAAAATGTTACATTTTAGTGATTTATATCGTTATCGGACGATAGAATTCTTATATCGGGATATGAGGTTTTGATCATATCGCACAGCCCTATATATTATAGTTTTTTTTTTTCTTAGACATGGGTCACTTTCTTTTTTTGGTTACCTTCTACAAGTAACCGACCCAGTGACATCACGTTCTGTCCTCACACAAGGTGGCGCTAAACATATTCTAGAAGCTTTAACTTTAAGCACGTATTTGGCATTTCGGAGTCAGCAAGAATAAGAACAAGATGTATGTTTGGAATTATAAAAAGGAGACCTGCAGGTAAAATGATGATGAAAATCTTAAACACTGTCTTTAAAGCGCTTCATGTTGTGGTTTTAATAGGAAAGCAGGATGTGGACTTTTCTGCCTCACGCTGTAATAAGTGAAAACCTCCAGTTAAAGTGCGGGCCAAACCAGAGAGGAAGGAAATGGAGTCGTAGCACCAGGCATGCTAACGGAGCAGTTACCGTTTAATTCATGATGAAAAGGAAGTGTAGCAGGAAGGGATGAATAATTTGTGATGTTAAGGTTAGTTATAGACACTGAGAGTCTCCAGCGACGTGCGCTGAAAGCATTTAAACAAAGTCTGAGAGCCTCATGATGGATGCTTTCTTTTCTGAACCTGACAACAGCAGGGGCGCCCTGAGCTGGAGCTTAATGACACAGTGCAGCGAGAGGCAGACTGAAACAATCCGTCCTCCAGAAATTAGCTATAATTGCTGCTTTTTCCCCCCATAACACAATTCCAGAGGTAAATGGAAGGAAAATAAGAGATATGGTCATTAATGCAGCAAACCGAGACTGAGAGAGAAACAAAAAGGTATTTAATGGTTAAATGAGGCTGGGAGAGGAGCCACTGGAGTCCATCACAATATAACAGAGCAACATTAGCAGCCAAAAGAGCACCAGACTGTGGCTAACCGGGCCAAACCGGGCTCAACGGTGCCAAAAAACGTCCCAAAATGGGAATAAAAGGTCTTCGAAATGCTCCTCTTCAAAAATGCTGCGAAAGCATCCAAGCAGCGGCTCCTTCTCTCTTCCTTCATCCGACGCTCACTCACAGACAGATAAGAGATGAATGGCTGTGAATGCAGCTGAGACGGGGCTGTTTTCCTGTGTAATTGCTGTGCACTGCATTTGTATTGTGTGGGAATGAATTAGCTGTGATTACTGAATCACATCCTGTTATAATACAACTGCTGCAATAACCGAACATGACCACGGCTAAACAAAAGCCCTAATGAGACCAAAGGGAGGGAGAAACTGCCCTTCAGTTTGGTCACTTGGAAGACAAAATAATTAGTGGATATTTGACTAAATGTAACAAAAAGCACAAAAGAAATTAGCATGTGTATCCTGATTGGTTGATTTAGCATCCTTTTGCTTCTTTTTTACCAGTTTCTTCATCCAACTCTTCTTCACGTCGTCCTTTTTACTCTCGTTTTTGTTGTGTTACACTGTCTCTCTTTCTCTTTCAGGTTGGAGATGATGTGCCAGATGCCAGGAAGTGTGCCTGTGCCAGCCATGTCGCCACCATTGCAGACTTCTTCCAGGTCAGACCCAGCACCGCAGTCGTACATAGTCCCAGAAAGAAACCATAAACACGACAGTTCATATTCATCTTGTGTGTAAGACATGTATTTTATAAAAGTTGAACATCTGAAATAGGAAACCAGTGTAAAAGTGCCTTAAAGCTGCACTCTTTTCAACGTCCACCAGGGGGCGGCTCCTCTGCCGTTTTCAGCATGGGCATGAATGTCGTAATAATTTTGAGCTTTTAATGATTTCTTTGAACTCTTCTTAAGAAACAAGAATTGGTGCAAATTTGAATTTATTCTAGATTTCCTATAATCCAAACAGAACTATGCATAGTGGATCAAAGATAAATATAGACGCACTTAAATCTCCAATAAGTGCTGCTGAAGCTTCTACGATGGCTTTGAACTTGACAGGGCCAAGGACTATTCACGTCTCGTTTGTGATCTTGATTGGCTACAGCTGCTAGTTTCTGTTGGCTGTATAAAAATGATTCATTGGATTGACCAACACTTAGTGTAAACAATGGGAAAGTCCAAGGCACGAGTTGGGAGCGTTGCTGAGTGCGTTATCTACACAACTGTGAATATCAAGATAATTAAAAACTAATAACACTATACAATAGTACTGAGGTCTGGAAGAAGACCCCAACTATCACCCTCAGAATAGAGGGAAGGTGTTAGGATGTTCAGGAACAACCAGGAACCACCAAGGCGATGAACTGGAAACTGGTAGAACACCATCATCCACAGTGAAGTGGGTCTTACATCACCATGGACCGAGAGGTTGCTGACTGCTTCAGAATCGACACCTTCAGACTCGACTGAAATTTGCAGCTGCCCACATGGACGAGCCGAACACATCGAGCTGTTTGGCTGCAATGACAAAAACTAGTTTGGAAGAACAAGGGTGAGAATTTCAAACCTACCGAACTGTGAAGCATCATGATGTCGGGCTGTTTTGATGCCGGTAGTATTGGTACATCGCACCAAGTTCATCTTATACCAGCAGCTTGACTGTTTATACTTGGACCAAACATGTTCCAGCAGGACAATGATCCCATCGTGGCTGGTTCAGGAATGGAGAAAGCAGGACAACATTGAGCTTCACAAATCAACAGCTTCAACCCTGTTGGAACTTCGTAGGCTTTATTCAAAGCCAGGCCAATAACAGGAAACCAGCCAATTTAAATGAATCCTAAATAAACTCGATGTGTATGGAAACGTCTGGCCACATCTGTAGGTCCATCTTTTACTTTCAGTCTGTTAGATTTCTGCTCAGATGAGTTTATTAAAAGCTCAGTTATTTCACTGTGCGTGATTCTGTGAATGCAACAGCGTCAGAAGCACCAGAGCTGTTCAGTCTAACAGGCCTGACAGCCACTGAGAGGGAAACGATCTCAAACCCCGATCACGGCAATCGTGTGTGAAGTGATGTCATGTTCGTTTCGTAACCTGCTTCAGTGTTTTTGAGGTCTTTGTTGTTTTTTTAAATTGTGTCATGTAAGGACCGTTTAAATGTTTTCCCAACGCTCGGTTGGAAAAGACGCTTAAAACCTGTAGGAGGATCACAGAGGAGGAACAGGTGTGTGTGACGAACACCAGCTCTGAGCCGAGGTGTGTGTGTCACACAGCAGTGTGTTCACAGCTGGCTCAGTGTGTATTTTTGGATTTATAGTGTAGATAAAAAGATTGAGATTAAAGCGGAGGTGATGTTTTATTTATATATTTGTGTGTGTGTGTGTGTGTGTGTGTGTGTGTGTGTGTGTGTGTGTGTGTGTGTGTGTGTGTTTTCGCTAAGTTCCCTGCTGGACTCTGCCAAGCGTGCCTCACACCTCTTCTCGTCACCACCTGCCGTGATGAGGTTGTGATGTATGTACGTCAAAGTGAGATAAGACGGCAAGTGTGTGCGTGTGTGTAACCAGAGGAGGGGGGTATCAGCTTCAGTCTGTCACACACAGATGGCAGAAGCGTCCCTCTCTCTCGCTCTCTCATCCTCCCCCTTTTCCTCTCAGGGGGGAATCTAGCACATCATCTC